TAATAGTGTGATATACTTTTATTTTGTTCCATTTATTTATGCAATTTAACAATGTGAATATTTGAATTAGATCTGCAAAATTCTAAAATTGTAATGATATTTAGATGTTCGTTTGATAATAAAAAATATAGCGATGTGAATGAAAATGCGGGAATCGGAATGAAAATTAAGAAATCGGAATGACATTTATATTTTCATAATGTGTTTCGAATATTAATGAGGAATCGGAATGCAATTTAAATTTTTTAATATCCGATTTTTTATACAAATGAAAATAATGATTAAAAAAATAATTTTATCAAACTATAATGATTGTAAAAATAATAAAGGTGATGGTGGTGGTGGTGGCGGCGACGGTTGTGGTGGTGTTTGTGATGGTTGCGGCGGTGGTGGTGGTTGTTGTGATGATAGTGGAAGTGGTAAAAATATTTAATAGACAATAAATAAATAAAATATATTATTATTTTAAAAAATCATTCCCATTCCTTTTTTTATTCCCACATCTTATGTGGGAATGAAATTGTGTGTAAATTTTTATTCCTATTCTCATTTTTCATTCTCATTCCCACTTCATTCCTTTTAATCAAACAGACTACAACGTATGAATAAAACTTTCATTTCCATTCCCACCACTCTATTCTTGATTATTAAACAACACCTTAAGTTAATTACTTACATTATCTATTTTATTTTCCTAACATATTAGGTGCTAAAAAATATCACAAGATAGATAAGAAAGAATAGAACAACAACAACCTCCAAGTGCGGATATTGGATGGAAATTTGCTATTTCATTGGATGATAGTACAAGCAAGCTACGGTGTAAGTACCGTGGAAGGGTGATTAAAGGAGGAATCACTCGTATCAAAGAGTATATAGCTCATAAAAAAATGTTGCTGGTTGCTTAAGTGTTCCCAATGATGTTAAAAAAAGATATGATAAAAGTCTTAAATGATTACAAAATCACGAAGCAAGATAAAGTCGGCTTGAGGATAAGATTATGGATTCTCTTATTCGAGAACAAAAGGGTGCTACCGATAATAAAGATGAAGAGCTCATGTCTTATGCAAGACAAGAGAGTATAATGCAACATGAGAGGGACAATTACGGAGCAAGCGAGAGGAGATTTATATGAAGAGTGTTCGGTTCTAGAAGGGGACAACACTAACAAGCTCCTATCATGCGTCATTCACAAAGTTTGCATAAAAGAGTTGGTTCAAGAAGATGACATAGTGGTGTTCCATCAATTCCTCCACAATCAACTTTAAGGGAACGATTGGAAAAGTTGTAATAAGATGAATTGGTTTTACAAAAGACTCGAGAAGAAAAAAAACAAAAGTCAATAAGTTCTCGGTTATATAAAATTGGGAAAGCAACATTAAAATGAGCAATTAGACCTTTTTTTGTTCATGAGAGAATCCTATTCAATGTTGTGGAATCCCCTTAGTTTTCAACAATGCTTAAAACTACCATTGAAGTTGGTTCCAGAATTCCACCTCCTAGTGCTTATGATCTTTTAGAGGTGTATGTGACGGAAGAGATGACAAATATGAAGAAGTGCATCAAAGATTATGAAAATATCTAGAATGAGAGAGGCTTCACAATCATGTGTGATGGATGATCTACATCAACTAAAATGTGCATCATTAATTTTCTCGCTTTATTCAAATCAAAACACGATGTTTATCAAATCAGTTGATGCGACAAATGTGCTAGCAAATGATATTGAATATTATTTGGGGTTAATGAAGAAAGTGGTGGCTGAAGTTGGTGAGCATAGAGTGGTCCAAATAGTGATTGATAATGAAGCTCGCTATGAAACCTCGCCGAAAAAAATTTAATGTAGGCTTGTCCTCACTTATATTGGTCGACTTGTTCTGCTCATTATTTGGATCTAGCTTTAGAAGACATTGGGAAAAAAAAAGCCAAGGTCAAAGAAGTGCTTGAAAAGGTAAGAAAAATTACCCAATTTATAATTTATTTATAATTATAATTGGGTTGTTGATTATATGAAAAAATTTACTAATGGGTGTGACTTACTTTGGCCTAACATCACTGGATTTGTCACCAATTTTGTTGCTATAGAAAGCATTGTTAAGTTTAAGAATGCATTTAAGGAGATGTGGGAGTCGGAAGCTTGGAATAATTCTAGATATGGAAGGATGAAAGATCGACTTGCTATCGACGTTCGCAAATTAGTGATGCAAGAAGATCCACAAGCAATAAGATTATGAAAGAAGGCAGGTGAAGTGATAGCCATTGAGGAGCCAATTATAAAGGTTTTGAAATTTATGGATGGTGATGACAAGTCGACTATGGAGTTTATCTATGAAGCACTCGCAAAGAACAAAGTCAAAAATTCAAGTAAGTTACCGATATTCAAAAACACGATGCAACATAATTGATAAATGATGAAAATTTCAATTACATACAAACTTACATGCGACTAGTAAGTATATAAATTAATCATAACAATCGAAAGATATCGTCAATTATTATATATACTTAAATATCATGTAGAAGTAATGTTATTTACTCTTTTTGTTTTTGTAGGTTATTTTTTGAATCCCCAATATCATTATGTACTCCGAAAGAATCCAATTTATCAAGATGAAAAAATCGTGTAAGGTGTCGAAATGCAATTATGAGAATAGAACCCGACATTGATAAACAAATCAAAACCATCAATGAAGTAAGTTAAATAATCTTGTGAATTGTGATAACCTAAGATGCTAAAAATATTTAATATCATATGATATATATTAATGTATAATATTTTTAAAATATTTTTTAATTTAAATATGCGAGTTGGATTTGTATAGTTTGAAACAACAAACATTTGGCCTAACCATAGCTCAAAAGGTTGTGTATTCAATAAATCAAGATACTTTATTAATTTATAAAATTTCATATCGTAAACATTATTGGTGTTATTTTTTTTTAATTTATGAAATTTTATTTGTTCAATGTAGCCAAGTGGTGGAATAGTTATGGAAATGATGCTCTAGTGCTTAGAAAGATTACAATGCGGATTTTGAGTCAAAAAATTTTCGCTTCAAATCGTGAGAGAAATTAAAGCACTTTTAGCTTAGTGCATACAAAGATAAGAAACGAGTTGAAGTATAAAAAATTACACACACTTATTTATTTTCATTATAACATGAAGTCGAGGTTAAGCATTTCATTATGGAAGAGTTAGAAAGAATTAAACGAAAGTTTTAATCCAATTAATTTGGATTTCATATTTTATAAAGATGATCCATTGTCTCCTTGGTTGGAGGAAAATGGACAACTAGTTTTTGATGGACAAAATATGGATTGGTTGCATGTGCATAATGATGATAGCGATGATGACGGTGGTGATGAAGAAAATGATCAAAATAATTCTAATAATCAAACTAATCCGCATGATAGTGATAATGGTGATGGTGATGATCAAGATGAGAAACCTAGTGATCCGGGAGCTTCTCATAACGAGTAATAGTAAGAGTAGCGATGATGGAGGTCGTGGAAAGGAAATAGCTTTTGATAGCAATGTCAATCTAGTTCTATATAGGCGTGGGTTGCGTGGTTCTATTGCACTTAAATCCGATGCTAGAAATAAAGCATCAATAGTAGAACAACAACAATCTAGTGGTATCATACCGCATGATCAAGGACATCACTCGTCTCTTTCGAAGATAGTTCAACTTCTAACTTCAATTATGATCAAGGACAATATTACCACTCACAAGGTTCACAAGTATATGGTTATGTATCTTATGATTCATATGGTACTTCATCGGACTATTCAATTTCAAATCCACAATATCCTTAATAAATTGGATCATCAATTGTCGCTTCATTATTTGGGCAATTGAATTTGGAAGGATAATATAGTTATGGTTGTAATTTTGATAGATGAGGATCACAATATCAACAACAAGATGATAACTATTATTATGATTCTCTACGATAATTTTTTTGGAAATGAATATTTTGTAATGTGTATATTGAAATTATAATATATTTTATTATTTTTCATGTGATATTAATCTATTGGAAGTGTTATTAATTATTTTTTAAATAAATTTAACTATTGTTATATATTATTAAACTATTAGAGATATTATTACTTGTTATTATGTTAAATCAGTAAAACTATCAAAAAATGTGAATTAGAATAAATTTATTATCGATTGTTAATGTATTCACGACATTAACTCGCTATGACCGTTATTTTAATATCGCGATGAGTCACGACCCGCGGTTGCAATCGTTTTTGCAGTCGCGACCCGCGATCATAACCGTTTTTGCAATCACGATTGCTATTTAAAACTATGATAGGGCCTGAAGATTTGTCCTCTTAAATTGCTTACATGAGCCATCTGTAATCTTCAAAACAAAGGAGAAAAAGGAACAGAGGACATGAAAGGACAAACTGGACTTCAGATAAATAGGCTCCTAACAAACTTAGCTGCATAATAGAAAGTGGTGTTCCCCATGAGATCCAGGAATGTGACATGTACCTGTACATTCACAGGAAAAATGTTCTGTAAATTTTCGTATCGTTTCTCAAATTATCACCATGTACTTTCGGTACTGTACTCTTTCTGTTAGAGGTATTTGTACTCATATTTAGAATTTTGAGAATGGATTCCGAAAAATACCAATTCATTTCAACAAAGCCAAAACTCAAGTACAAAGCAAGGATACAATGCCCCAAGTTCTGCACTCAAATATACTATGAACTTATATATCCCTAAATAATGATGTACAAAAATATAATGCAGCTTGTACGATAGCCTAGGAAACAAAATATTGGGGGCAGAACCTACAAACAAAATACGCAGCATTCGTGAACTTACTTCAATGCTGACTCTTCAACGATGTCAGACTAAGAGATCGAAATTTCCCTCTTTTCTTATTCACGTGGCTCAAATAGAACATTACATAAGCTTCCTTAACCATTGGTATGAAGTAACGTTTACAGCAGCTTTCGTCGCCGTTTTCTCCAGGTTTTATATGTGCCAAGCAGATTCAAATAGTGCTAAAATAGGATCTTCCTTGCTGATGCTTTCCGGTGTTTTATTTGCTGGTAAACTGACTGGATCACCTTCCATGACCGGACTATGAACCCCTTCTTCCCCATTTGCTTCCTTGCTAGCACTGGCTTCTTCTGTCTCCTCCTCAGCAATACATTCTCTCTCTTTCGTGCTTTCATTTGTATCACCTTTAAGACTAGTTGCTTCTCTGCTAACAGTGGATTGGATCATCTGCTTTGGGCTTTCCTCTGTGTTTTGTATGCTTTCACCTTTCCCCTTCTCTAGTGCAGCCTTATAGGTGCATTTAACAACTTTCTTCAGTGCGTCCTTGTATGTGCCTCTCATAACTTTCGGACTACCTATCTCCGTTTCCGAACATGACGTTGCAGATATGGGACTGAAACATTCCTTTGTTTCATTGCTATCATGATTTTGGAAGTCTATTATGTTATTATCTGCTTCACGAACACATGGTTGTTCAACACTATTGTCGTTACAGTTTATATCGATCACAATCTCCTTTTCTTTGGTAGTTTCTGATCCCCAATGAGTCAGGATAGATACCCAAAAGTTCAGCCATGAGATAGCACACGACAATGCCCAATCTAGAAGTGGAATTTGGTGGATAATAATGGGAAACTTGTTAACAGCAATATCAAATTTTGCTGGAAGGGTTTCTACGATTTGGACGAGCTTATCAACCTTGTTGAACACATATTTTGATGGTGGGAACGAAGCCTCGGCCTTTCTTTCAAGGGTTAATATAACATGATCATCCACAAAAGAGAGGATTGCCAAGAAGAGATACTCGTATCGCAGGACATAGACAAGAACGGAAGCAAATGAAGCTAACCTGATTATCTTCTTTGTCACTAAACCTAATGGTCCATTGAATTCTTGGGCTTCTGTATAAGCTTTGCGAGCGATTTCCAGGAAAGAGACTCCACATGTATGCAACGGACGACGCCTAGCATTCATTCTGGTTCCTGCTGTTGATTCCTGAGAAATTCAAGCCAAAAATGTCAACAGGTTTGGTTTCTTTTTCCCTTGATAATTTCAAGAAGCAGAGCTCAAAAAACCCATCAGATACTCCTACATTTTGCAGGAAATGGTAGAAAACAACAGAAATAAAGAATAACAAATAATTTGACATGGGAAATTAGAAAACAAATTTGAGAAGAGAAAGGGTCACATTTTTTATTTTCCATCTGACTAATAATCTCAAATTGTAGAATCCATTCCATTTTATTACCTAGAAGGCTAGAAAAACTTGATGCATGGTTAATTATTTCCCAAACCCTTCAGAAAGTAAGGATGCAATCACAATTGAAATTAACATACCATCGACAAGAATTCCTTGGCAAACAAAACCACCTTGCAACAAGTTTTAGCAATGAATAAATAATGAAGTTAAAGAGAAAAAAGAGTAATTATAGAAGGAACATAAAACTGATGCCGAGGAAGAGAACGCTGCAAATGAGATCCGTACGGTTGTTCTATTAGTGGGGGAACTGAACAGTTGCCATCTATTTTAGGGGGAGAATATATCGTTGGACAGTTCTTGGAATTTCGTATTTTAGGCATAGAATTTAGAAAAGAAAAATTATAAGTTGTGCCAGTTGTACTTTGTTTTTGTTAACAAAAATATAAGATATATTATAAAAATAGTTTATAAATTTTATATTTTTATAAGAGAGACGAGTATGGTTCCTGAGTAATTTGTTTTTAGTTACGGCTTTCTTCACCTCCGAATCAATATGGTGTATTATTATTATTATTATTATTATTTGTGTGTGTGTGGGTGTGGTGGTTTGAATCAATATTCATCCCCTTACTTTTGATCTGATCAAATCGAACCGACCCTTTGCACAACTTTGGCTCAAATTGATCCCTCTATCATTGATTTAGGAGATTTTAAATTCTCTGTCCAACTCAGGAGATTTCTTAGATTGACTCCTATAAATGAACATATAAAAGGGATTAAGAAAAAGAAATATAATTTAAAAATTATTTAAATTAAATGGAAATTCATATTTTTTTTCTAAGAAAATGAAAGTCAATCATTTCTCATTCATATAATCCACACTTTGTCCTTATCATTTGAAACATCACTTAATATATATATATATATATTAAAAGATTATATATATAAAGAGTGTGTTTGTTACAAACGAAGGTGATAATTACTTGTTGAGTTAATGTACTTACTTTGTTTCTATATTATATCTATTTCATTCAATAAATCCTTTTACAAAAATATTGGTTTGATAAATCCCTCTCCTATCTTGGATCAACATTAGATATGATCTTTCCATTTTATAAATCGTAATGGATATTAACTTTCTGACGTGTGGCCTTATTCATGACAAGTGTATTTATTCTTTTTAGTCTTTTTTTGAATAATTAAAAAACATGAAATTAAGGAAAAAGAAAAGAAAATACATATAAAATAAATTCTCAAATCCCTTGAGGAGATATTGCATTGAGAATCAAGATCTAGAAAATCACCGAAGCGTCCTTGAATCTCCATCTTCTTCCTTCCTCGCCATTATACCGAGCCAACACGTGAGAGACGATAATGAATTTCAAAATCCTCTCCTGACACTCTTGGGGTTAATAATTGCAAAGTAGAAGGGTTCATATGACAAAACCTTAAAAATACAGAGACACGGGGTGATTATATAAAAGATTTTGAAGAGGGACACCGAGTGAGAGAGTTTAGACTGTGGGGATTAAGAGGAAAAAAAAAAAAAACACAATGATTTCCTTGTTTATGGTTGACAATATGCTGTGAATGAATAGTCTGCTACATTATGCGGAAGGAATATAAATTTGGATTAAACACATTCCGTGTAAGTGTACTATTCAACAACGTTCATGTTAATCCTTGTATTCATGAATTGATCATGTGAACTTTTGTATTTAGCTATAGTGCATAATAAATCTTGTATTATTGGACGTCAGAATAAATTAACCCTTCCATTAATTCTTTCTATCAAATTGATCAAATTCCATCAATTGATTTATATTGGACCAATTGTGTGATGATACGTGGTAATTGACTAATTTTTTTTTTTTTTTGAATTTTATCATTTTATAAATATTAGTAATTAATTATTTTAACTTTTTAAAAATTTCAAAAACTAATTTTAAATGAGAAATTATATTTTTACTTTTTAGTTGATACATGTCATTACATAACTAGTGAGACATTAGTCATCCGATGGAAATTGATCACTTTGACAAAAAAGTTATTAAAAGTGCTGATTTATTTTAACATCTATCCATGTAATGAAAATTTGCTCTCCATGTGTTTTGAGGAGAATTAATGGCAGTGAGAAAAGAAGGTTTAATCACATCAAACATCCCATTAATCTTTTGATTTTTTTTAATATGACCCCCGTATTTTTTTTTTCAACCCTTTCTTATATTCTTAATTTTTTTTTAATATGCCCATTTTAGCCTCTTTTTTTTTACTAATTTTTCAATTAAAATTAAGGGTTGGCACTAAAAATTCTACCGACATGACACATCGATTAATTTTCCATGTGGAAAGAAAAAGAAAAAACCAAAAAACCACTACAATTACAAAACTACACTTGAATAATTTTGACTCGAATACCATACCAAAAACAACTCATTTCGCTCTCTTTCACTCGAGTACCGGACCCAAAACTCATTTCCTCCTTCTCCCTTACCCGAATAACAAACCCAAGACAACCTATTTCCTTTTTTTTCCGTGATAACCCATCCAAAAATAAAATAAAGTTTAGTAATTTTTATATTTTGTAGATTAAGAAAAGAATAAGAACATAATTGAAGTAAATAAAGTTAGAGTACTAGAATCAAACAAACCTAATAATATAGGGACCGACCTTAACCAAATAAGGCAAACCTTTTTTAAAAAGGGATAGAAAAATGAGACAACCACCCCGTCCCTCATTTTTCTCTCCTTCTCCTTTTCTCTTCCTTTATCACTCTTTCGCTTCGTACCATTTTCTCTCTTCCATTCCTAAGTTAAAACCTTGTCTAATTAACTTTAAAAAAAACCATAAAACAAGTTGACTAAACCGAAGTTTAGTCGGATGAAAGCTTGGAAGGCTTGAAGGGTTTTACGATTAAAAATGTGGTTGAAGAGCCAATTATCAAAGGTAAGAAATTTTGTCATTTGGTCTTTAAATTGAGATGTTTGTATGTATTTATTGATGATTTTGAAGTTGATTTGTATTAGGTTTGTCGTTGGAATAAAAAATGAGTTAGGTTAAAGTTAGAGATTGAATCAAATTAGGGGGTTTGATGATTAAACAATTAATCATGTTAATTGATGCTAGAAATGTGATAATAGTGGTGTAAAATTGATTATTGAACTATGGGTTTAAGAAATTTGCAAGTTAGTTGAAGATGATGAATAGTAAGATATGAAATTTTGAACAAGTTGAAGATGATGGATAATAAAATTTGAATTTTGGAATTTATTATTTAATTATTGAGTAAAGCATTTAATTATAAGTTTATTGATTGGAGTAGAAGATTTATTATGGATTGATTTAATAATAGGAATTAAATTATTTTGGAGGTTAAGGAAAAATGATGGATTATATAGATAAGTTATAGGAATAAATTGAATTGAGAATTGATGATGGATAATTGAAATTAATGATGCATAATTGATTGTATTAAAGTGTAAATTAGATTGTTAAAGAAAGATTATAGAGTGAACTTAGAATATAGTTAGGTAATTATCTAGAATCTGTTGAGAGAGCAAAATTTTAGTTAAAATCATTGATTTGAATCTTTGTGATCAATTTCATTCTTACAAATTATCTTGTATTCTGATTTCTAAAGTAATTCATTTGTTTGAATTATTTTTTGATATGTGATAGTGATGATTATTCAATCATTTTCTATCATTAGATTCTTCGAAGCGGGTGACTCCATCTTAACAACATTGATTTCATTCGATCATTTGATTGTATTGGGAGTGGATAGTATATAACATATTATGTTTTAAGTTCCTTTGATATATCTATCATGCATTACCGATTTAATTATGGCACAATCACATTCATTAGAACTTAGATATAAACGGACTCCTTGTGCATTTGAAATGATTTAATATTGAAAATAGTTTGATATGATTCTAAAAAAGGATTTGAATATGTGTTTGAATAATTTTTTTACTTAAGGTTTGATTTGTTTTATGGATTTAATTACTCGGTTTAATTTAGACCTTTTATTTTAATTTATTTGTATAATTTTAGTAAGTGTTTAATTTATATTTTTTAATTTAAATTTGTATTTGAGTTTAAATTTTAAGTATGAGATTTGATATTGCATTATCAAATCTAATTTTGAACATGAATTGTATTTGATATGTTGGATTTGGATATTTTTTATATATGTATAGGTTTATATGATTTTTTTATTTGATTGGTTACTTTAGAGTACCTAGTTCCGGAGGGCGTAGCCTCCGAGCTCATTGAAACGTAATGCTCCGGCTAGGATGAGAGGTATGTTACTAGCTAATGTGTCGGTTAACATATGAAATCTAACTACGGGGCATAGCCTTTGGGTGATCGTATTTAACTATACATTATGTTTGTTTCACCCTAGGTGTAAATTTAGATACTTGATTTGATTTGCTTAGCCTATATATAGATTTTGATGTTTCATATGATTAGAATTTGAATTACTTAAAGATATGATATATGATTTAATATTTATAATATGCATTTGACTTTGAAAAATAAGCATTGCATCTCGAGCAGTGTTTTAAATTATCATCCTTAGTCTATCTTCTTTTCTTGGATGTGTTATATAATATCTACGTATTGAGCCGTTGAGTTGCTTACATCTCACTATTTTAGGTTTATAGGGTTTTTGATATTTTCTTATTGACCTCCTCGTAACCATTATCCTAAGCCGACACATTTATCATACCGTTTATTTAATTGTATTATTTTGAATTTGTGTTTGAT